ACACACAGAGAGAGAGAGAGAGAGAGAGAGAGAGAGAGACCTTGCAAGCCAAGCACACAAATGTAGGACAAGCAAAGATAGTCTCAAGAAGACACATCTTGAAAAGCGGGGCTGAGCATCACAGGCAGGGACCTCACCATCCCTAAGACTCTGCAGCCCCAGGCCACATGGTCCCTTGAAAGTCGCAAGAGAGAGGCCTTGTCAGAGGGAGGTTCGGTACCGGAGTCTTGGTACTCTGGGAGGAGAAACTGGCACTCTTCTCCCAAGAGCACAGGTTCCCGGGTGAAATGAGGCTCCTCCCGAGTGGCCCATCTGGGTTACAAGTGTCACATATCACACGAGGTCAGAAAGGGCTACCCAGCTTTTTTCCCCATCGGCCAAGGACTTTGAGCCCAGCAAAAGGGGTGGTATCGTGCCCAGTCACAAGATCTCTCAGTGGCAGTTACCGTGGATCCTAGTGCATCTCTGAGATGTGAGAAATAAGGACTGGGTCTCCTGTCAGGGATCCTGACAGCCAGGAGAAAACACAGACCCTAAGGACATGCCATGTTATCCATGGCTCTCAACAGATGAGCTGTGGCCTTCATATGCCCAGGATCCAACATGGCTCCACAGTTGTTATTCTGAGTAACAAACAGCAACAACAAAGTACCATCCTTCAGTGTGAGCAGCAGGCACAGCTAGGTAAGCTGTGTGTACACACACACACACACACAAACACACACACACACACACACACACACCAGGGGACATCACAGGTACAGACAGATGCAACCTGCTTCTGGATTCTGCCTTCTTCTCTGTCCCTAGGCATCCCAACAGACAAATGTGTGCAACATACATTAAGGCGTGCGAGGCCTTTCCTGCTCTCTCCACATCACCTCCCTGCCCCACACTGCTATGGGACCTTTTGCTCACTAGCAATTCTCTGTCACTTAGTCATCCAAATGCCAGTTTGAGTGACATCACCACGAAAGAATGAGCTGCTTTCTGCAAGCAGGGTTTGTGGGAGAAGTCCCCATCCTCAGCTACCATCCACTGCCCAGCAGGTGCAGCTGAGGGGCAGGGGACCAAGGAGAAAGGGACAGGAGATCAGAAATAGGAGAAGTTTTGCTTGGTCTCCCCACCCCCCAGCCGTCTTCGGCTTCCAAGCAATGTGGCCCTTATACAGAGGCAAGGAGTGGGTGGCGCTGAAGACAGGCGCCCTCTCCTTCCTGAGAGAAGCATTCTTTGCATTTCTCCGCCCCCCCCCCCCACAACCTCTCTCCCTGGCCCGAGGCATTTATGAAACTTCTGACTTAGAGTCGTCCCCAGGGCACACATGACTGGCCACCAGAGAGGAGAGAAACAGCAGAACCCAATTCTGGTACAATTAACGTGGCTTCCATTCCCCAGCAGGGGATGCCCAGCCCTCAGGGTTGCTGGACACAGCGGTGAGTGGAAGAAGTTATAAAGGTAAACAGTTAAGGCCTAGAGATGTCACAAGGAGCCACAAGAGCCCAGCTCTTGAGCCGAGATCCTTCTGCCTCTGCCTCCTGAGTGCTGGGGATTAAAGGCATGCACCACTACCACCACCACCACCACCACCACCACCCAGCTCATTTTTAAAATACCAATATCACTAACTCAATATTCTAGATTGCAGTTATATAAAAACATTTCTAACATTAATTTCACTGATATCCTTGGAAAATAAATTCTGTGTGCACATAGATGGTATGTTCACGTGTGTGCACATGCCTGTAGCAGGCACATGTGGAGGCCAGAGGCTGACCTCTAGAGTTCTTCCTTCAATCTCTTCCCATCCTATTTTATGAGACTGGGTCTGTGGATTCAGTGAGGCTTAGCCAGCTAGCTCCTGGGGATCCTCCTGTCTCTTCTCCCTAGAGTTGAGATTACAGGTATTCCTAGCTTTTTCTTGGGGGGGGGGTCCTAAGGAGCAAACCTCGGGCTTTCACGGTTGTATAGCAAGTACTCTGCCCACTAAGCCATCTCCCCAGCACTCTTATAATAGTTTTTATTATTACATAATAGCTCAATAAAATATTGATACTGAAATATTAACTTCCCCATTGAAATGACATTTTTTTTTCAGATTTAGTAAAAAATTATGACACTTGATGATGTCACTAGTGTCCTGACACGGGGAATTTTAAATCACAAGTGTGTGTGTGTGTGTGTGTGTGTGTGTGTGTGTGTGTGTGTGTGTGTGCAGGCAAGCTGTGTCCACTGGGCATCGGGAGCCATGTCTCCCAGGACTACTGTAGTCACAGCTTCAACCTCCCGTATGCCTGGGATAGCAGCCCACACATACAGGCCACATTCTGTCCCTGTAAAGGACAGTCATCCCCCCAGGGGATGGACATCTAAGCTCAGTCACCTCTCTCTACCGGCTTTCCTTTTCTCGGGGACTAATGGGCAGCTCTGGCCAGGTCCACTCTGCCTAAGCACTGAACATCGCCCATCTCTACTTCCTCTGACACCCAGGCCTCTCATGGGGACCCTGGGTCCCTCACCACCTGGTATGACCCTATCACTTTCCGTACAATTCCTCTCAAGGCACTTCCCCTACAGAAAGGAACGCTGACCACCCTGGGGCTCATGTAGCTCTTCTGTCTGTCTGTCTGTCTGTCTGTCCTTCAGGTACCAGCCTCTCCAGTTGAGTACACTGGGGTATAAACTAAAAACCCTTCCTAGAGGCTGAGGGTGGTATGAGAGAGGGTATACCCATCCCAGTTCTTTCCTGGCAGAAGTGACACAGGGTGCCTGAGATGAAGGTGCCCGGATACAGATAGGCAAGGCATCAGAATCAAGAGCAAGGAAAAGTCACGACTGTCACATTGAGAGAGGATTTCTTACTAGTGTGGCATGGGGACAAACTGAGTCAATCAACACAGAAAGCTCCATGGGATGAGAGCCAGGACCTGTAGTCCAACAGTCTGGATGCTAAGTCCGAGCCTGGCTCATCCTTAGGTTGAGAGCAGACAGCGGAGAACACAGAGCAGTAGAGACGGGTGAGGCGCGGAGTGAGAAGCAATGGATTCCAGCCCTTCCCACCTCCGCTGACTCTCTCCCCTCCCACGCCACACCTGGGACAACCACACAGACGACCGAGGAAGAAGAGAACAGAAGAGGGAGAGGGAGAGGTTTGGCAGGTGCTCTTACCCCCACTGGGTGGCGGGCTGCTGGGGGAGGTCCCCTCCATCTCCTCAAAGGCCTCCTTGTAGCTATGCAGATGGGGCTGCAGGAGAACAGAAGGGTGGAGAGAAGGAAGCCCTGAGGACAGGCTCCCCTTCAGGTGATCCTGGGCATGAGGACAGGAAGCCTGGCAGCCCACACAGTCCCTCTCCAGCTTGACTCTCTCCACTTCACCCGGGGAAGGCCAAATGCTGGCCACTCACTGCCTCAGCCACTCCTTAGTGGTGGCTGAGTACAGGGAGCGGCTGTTTGCAAGGCAACTCTAAAGCTGGGGCAGAACTATTTCAGAACAGAGTCACAGAGATCTGCTAGGCTGGGGTCTCTGCGGGGGCATTCGCAAAGGGAGGGTTTTAACCAACTCCCTGGCAGTTCTTCTGCACATGCAAGTTCGAGTCCCGCCGCCTCTGACTACTGAAATGTCTCCGCAACGGAATCATTTGGGTACAAAAATTAAACCTCCTAAGAAGAGCCTTATTTCTCAAAACGCTCCAAAAGATGCTTGCCAGTCTATCTGACCCACTTTGGACTGTAAATCTGGGGATCATGCACGCCATCTCCAGGATGCTTATCGCCGCCCTAAAGAACTTCCTTTGGAGATCAAGACGGGAACCTCATTCTCAGTGTTAAAGCAAGCAGCTGGGGTACAAATGTTACTGAAGAGAGGAGACCTTGGGTAAGGATACACGGAGGGAGAGATCACTGCATTTACTGATGAAGCAATAGCAGTTGGGTCTCAAGCTCCTGGAGAGGCACACGGGACTCCGCTTCCTGCTGTGGCCCCAGGACTCATCAACTCAAGGACTCACCTCTTTGGGCCGCCCTCCAGGATTGAGGGCAATGGTAAGAGCCAGCTCAGGGGAGACGCACTGGACCGGGGAGCGGACCCCAGGACTACGGGGGGATGTGGCCTCTGGAGACTGGTTCTCATACTGTCCATCACTTGCTGCCCGCCTCCGGAGCGGGGCTGGGGGCTCTGCAGGCTGCCTCTCCCGAGCCTGAACCCCTGGGAGGAAGGGCAGGATATGGAGAGTAATGAGCAAATTAAAGAATGATTCCATTCCCACCTAACACTTCCCCCCACACACAAAGGCAACATTTCAGCTGGGGCGGGGGGGGGGGGCTAAGCTGGAGTGAACCACGTCCCTTCAGTGCCTCACCATGCCTTCCTGTCCCCCAACTCAGCTCAGATCCTAAATTTCCCCCAGTGGGGTAGAGGGGTAGAAGCTGCTTAGCCTGGCCTCTGCCTTCAAGAGGAGTCTCTACTCTGCATAGGATTTGGACCAAAAGCACAAAGGATTGATACAAGAAACAGATGTCGGCTCCTTCCAGCCCCTAGAGGCAAAAGGCCAGAGCTTCCAGAGGAGGGGGGGGGGAGGGTCTCCAAGGCAACTGCATCAACCAACAAGAAACATGGAGCCTCTGGGAAGGACTTTTGGAAAGGGCTGAATTGCATCATCTTGCACATGGCGCTCCCAGTGGGAAACAAAGGAATGACCAAGTCACGCTCTGGAGTCGCCAGCCACAACTGGCTTCTGTGGTGGGTCTGATCTCAGGGGTTCCCTGGCTTTCATCCAGTGCACCCCTGAAACCTCTAACCAACTTCTCCTTAGCAGCCCACATCCTCTCATCGACCCACCGTGGCTGTGCCCATGGCGGAGGCCAAGGCTCCCATCATACCCTACTCTGGCGAAGGCCAAGCAAGTGAGAGCAAAGGGCTCCATCTTCCTGTCCCCACTTCCTGTTTAGCCCGCTACAAAGGCTGTCCATGTTAGCCTCACCCTGCCTCCTCCCCATCTTCTCTCCCCACAGCTGGGCCAAGGCATGGAATCTATTATTTCACTGCGCTGGCTTCCAGAATCCTAGAATACTGACTTCCTAGGTCCCAGGAGCCAAGGCCCAACCCTGAGAGCTGGATTCTAGGCCTAATTACCTTAAAGTCTCATCTCTGCCTTCATCGTCCCCAGGACTACCTAAGGGGCTTGGGTCACGTGAGCTTGGGACATGAACACACCTCTGGGACCCTTAGTCACAAGTGGGAGTGTGTGCGTGTACACATGCATGTATAAAATGCACACATGCGATGCTGGCCTTTAGGAACACAGCCAGGACAGCCCGGTGGGATTCACCCTCATGTAGCCTGAATCTCCTCTCATCCTCTGTGGTGGGATCTGCACAGCCCAGGTGGTCCCCAACCCTTAGTTTGCCACAAATGCTTGCCATGGCCTACACTGCCTGGGAAGCCTCCCTGCTTAGTGTGAACAGCAAAGGGCTGGCTGGGGCAGAACCACTTGGCTCACACGTAGCCACTGTGGTGCATACGCATGTACTCTGTGATGGAGGCTCTGGGGGCCCGTCAGGGGAGGGCAAGACCAGCTGCCAATGGTACAAGTCAGATACAGAAGGCAGAGGGCACACCAGCTCTCCATGAGTGCTTACTCAGAAGCAGCCCTGCCTAGCTGCACAAGGAGACTAAAATGGCCTGCATCCTGATGGTCCCAAACTGCTCTGCTTAAATAAGCCCCTAGCCTCAGAATGCCTTGATTTCCAAAAGAGAGGGGGAAAAAAAGAGGGTGTGTCTGTCCTGCGTAAGGGCTGCTGGGAGAATCTACGGGGACTTAAGAGAGGAGGTGGCCCTGGACATCTGGAGCCACACCAGACTCTGCCAGCAACTCTAGGCTCCCAGAACTCAGGCCTCCTCGGGCCTCAGGCCCCACTTCTCCTTCCTCCAAACAGGCCCCGCCCAACTCAGGCCTCTGGGAAGGGTGGGCCAGGCCTCGCCCTGTTTCTGGGCTCATTCCTGGCAGAAACCCTAGAAGGAAGCACATACAGCCACCGCTTTTCCAATAACGTTGTGACAAAGGAGCGATTTTATAAAAGTTCTGGGGGGTACGGAGTTGAGTTCAGCCCCAAGGTGAATGGAAATGCATGAGAGCTGCCTGTGGTTATGGGGGCACCCCCTACGCTGCCGCCGCCGCCGCCGCCGCCGCCGCCGCCGCCGCCACCACCACCACCACCACCGTCTCTGGCAATCGCTCTTGCTTTTTCAAGAGTGGCCACTACCTTGTCTGGGGGCCCTGTGTTGGCTTTAGAACAGGAGGTCTGTTTCCACGGGAGTCACCCTCCAGGAGGGGCCGAGAACATTCTCGCCCATCCTTTCCTGGCACTGCCTCCAGACCCAGGGCCATAGGGAAGCAGTGCGGACTGAGGCTGCTCCGCATGTGTGGCTGGCCACCCGCAGAGGACACAGACCTGCCCAAAGTGGACAGGCACTTGAGAGCAAGCGTAGTTGAGTTATTTCAGCTCCCCTCCCTGTCACTGCCAGGATGGCACATGGGAGCATGCTCTGGCCAGAGGCAGGGGTGGTGGTGGTGGTGGACCAAATGATCTCCAAAGAGTGAGGGGACTGCAGGACAAAGTCTCCCCTTACAGAAGAGGAGAGACCCCCACATTCCACTCCCACAGGGCTGACCATTCCCAGAGAGTGGTCCATGGCACCAGCAGCCGGTCAGGGCACTCCGTCTCGGAACACAGTGTCTCTCTGTTGTCCCTTTGGCAAGCCCAGAGCCAACCCGGAGTGCCTGGAGAGCTATGGTCCCTCTCCTCGGTCTTTCTATGAGAGGGAGCCTGACGCAGGGGTGAGGAGAGAAGAGAGCCTCATTGTTCCTCAGCCAAGTGGTGGCTCTGGACACCAGCTGACAGCCGGGGCCAGAAAGAGAGAGAGGAAGAGAGAAGAGACCCTCTCACATCCCCAAAACTGCATGGCATGACCATCAAAAGTGGGCCTGCACTCTGTGCAGACCTCCACTCAGGATTTCCTCAGTCTCCTGGCCTATTTTTCTCTCCAAGACTTTGTTTGCTACATGCACACAGGGAGAAGCACTCTTCTCTCTCTGTCTCTGTATCTCTCTCTCTCTCTCTCTCTCTCTCTCTCTCACACACACACACACACACACGCACACGCACACGCACACGCACACGCACACGCACACGCACACGCACACGCAGACAGAGTGTATGTCTTAGCCCCACAGGAAGGGCCACAGGACACTTAGCGATCTGGTTGGTCCCTAACTTTCCCTACAGCAGGCTTTAGGGCCAGAGGAAGCCGAGTAGGAAAAGGGAAGCCATCAGCGGCTCTGGAAGGCTTGCCCCACCAGGCCGCTGAGTACTGAGAAGTGGGGTGCTCTGATGGTGAGAAGGTGGCCTTTCTGCGCATAATGCCCCACAGTCAGTCCTGCGCCAGCCTCTGAGGGCTGTTTCACGTGGGGCCGGCTGGCACCCCATCTCCCCCAACACTTTACGATGACAGGTGGTCACCATAGCCTGAGAGCTGCCACGGACACCTCGGAGCAGCGTTGAGTCACCCTCTGCCCTCACTGCCCCCGGGACAACGCTGTGCCTAGGGGACAGCTCTCTGCCCAAAGTGCTGCATGGGTCCTAGACCTAATAACATGCATGTGCATGTATATCTGTTTAGAGAGGTCAATATATAAATATATGCATCAATTTATAAATACACACACACACACACACACACACACACACACACACACACACACACTTTCCACACACTTTGGCAAAGCACTGCCCCTCTTTCAGAGTCACACGGATAAATCCCCAGAGTCACATAGTGTCACCACAGGCATCAAAGCAGACCTCTCCCACGGACCCAGATACTGGTCACCCCCACCCCCACAGACCCACTCTTCTTTCCAGCCTTCCGATTTCCAAAAGACTGGATTCCTCAGCTCCAGGTGGTCCGGCTGCATACCCAGGGCTCCAGAAGTAAGGGGATCCAGGATGGAAGGCACCTGCTGAGCCAGGGCACTAGAAAGCCACACGAGCAATCACACTAGCTAGCAGCTCCAGGGCAAGCCATGCCAGCTCCCCTCGGGGACAGGTCCACTGCCCCATAACCTGAACAGACCCTGAGCCCAGCTTAACACTCCAGTCCCCACTGCTGGGCCAAGAAAAAGGCAGAGGGAGAAGAACGGAGAAGGAGGGGACAGTCTGACAGTGGACTGGGACAGAAGGGTCCGTGGGACAACAGATACCACACCACTATCAGGAGTGAAGGGTCCCTCGGCCTGGAGGAGCTGCTTAAGGCTGTGGCACTGGAGAAGCCTGGGTACACGGTCTCCTCCCTGATACTGAGCAAACAAAGGATGAGCGTCTAGCAGCTTGCATGTCCCAGAGGCTGGGGACACTAGCTGACGCAGTCCTAGAATAAACTAACAGGAGTCTGATGGAGGAGCAGCCCATCTGCAGAGTGATGTAGCGCCGGACGGGGCCACATAGGCAAGGCAGGGCTTTCAGACTGGGAACGTGGGTTCTGAACAGTGGAGGCCCTCGTCCAAAGTCACAGATGGGCACAGGCAGGGGGCGGGCCACGGACCTCAGCATCAGAGGGGTACTGTGCAGCAGGGACAGGGCCACCTTTTCCCTGTCTGACATGTGGTGGTCTCAGGGCAAACACAGCCTGGCGCCTTCTGAGTCTTGGCCCTGAAGCCCAAACCATCCCACCTGGGGTGGTTGAGGATAAGCGACTGGGACCCTCACTGGGCACCTCACTGGAAACACCAACATCTCCACAGGACACTCTGAAAGCTCCCCTAATCACTTCCCTGTGCCCAGCAGGCAAGGCCAAGCTAAAAGCATCAGGCCTCCAGCCAAGCAGAAGGGAGGGGAGGGCCTCGGAGAGGAGGGAGAGAAAGAGGGGTAGGGAAGCAGGGGGGAGGGAGGAGGAGGAGAAAGGGAAGGCGGGAGGGGAAGGAAGATGATGGTGAGGAAGGTTTGGAAGGCATCTCATGGGGAAGAGGATGAGGGGAAAGCTGAAGCAAGGGCCCAGAGCCACGAGGATGGAGACTCGGAGCAACCCACCAGAGGCGGAGGCAGATCGGAGCCGGTGGAGAGGAGAGGGTCGGAAGCCGCCACTCTGCCTCAGGCCCTGCAGTCTGGCATTGTACACTGTCCACCCACGCCCCAGGGGAGCCGGCAGGAAGGGGAGGCACCAGGCATAGAAAGCACCCCACCAATAGCACGGGGGGACAGGTAGACGCGGAACACAGTGAGAACGCGGGGACACGAGGCATTAAACAACAGGGAACAGAACAAAAACAAAGAAAAAAAAAATCAGGGTTAGTCCTTGTTCTGACTCCAGGATAGAGCCACACACTGGAGGGAGATGGGATGGGGAGGAGACGAAAAGACAGGGTGGTCCAGGGCCTTTGCTCCTCTGATGGGCAGGTGGCTTTCCTGCCCGCCTAACCCCAGTAGCAGCCCTGGGCCTGAGACTTCAGTCCCATTATCCTGCACTTTACAGTTAACCTAGGCCACCCAAGAGCCTCTCTTTCTCTCAATGTCACCCACCCCTTCTGAACCCAGGATGGCTTACCAATCTGAGACCCAAGGTCACACCCCTTGCCTGCCTTAGCCCCTCATAATTCAATCACAGTAGCCCCAGCAATCCTCTCCCCCAGGGAGCTCCTCATTCTTTTAGTTGCTGCCCAAAGCCCCTGGGTACCACAAGTGGAGGCCTTGGGATAACCCTAGAGGATGCTCTAGAAGGCCCTGCTGCATCTCTCTGCCCTCACCTTATTGGTTAGCAAGCTGTCATTGTATCTCAGGTTCTGCGCCAGAGGCTGGTACTTCCCGTGGGCCGTCTACCTGGCCCACGCCTGCTTGACTGCTCCCAGCCTTGCTCACCTCCAACCTCTTCCCTTAGTTACTGGCTGTCAGAATGTGACCCTCGCAGAAGCCTCATTGGCTTCTTACACTGGACTCCCTCTAAGCCAAGTTCTCGGGTCATCCAGGAACACGTCTATTACTTAGTTGTTCGGGACAAGGACCTATCTTTGTTCTTTTCCTCTTACATTCCACATCTAGTAAATCTCCCTGGCCGATCCTCCCAAACACCCCACCATCTTCCTCCCATCTTCCATGCCGATCGATAGCAACAGCCTCCGAATGGACCTCCCTCCTCCTCCTCCCATCTTGGCCATACAGACACTTTTAGAAGAAGCCAGGTGATGTCACCATTTGGACCAAATCCTTTCTAAGGCTTCTCAGAATACACACACCAAAACTCCAAGTTCTTAGGAGCACCTGCCAGGCCAAATTTAAGCTGGCTCCATTCCCATTACCTCTTAGACCTCATGTGGGTCACTCTGCTCCAGCCCATTCCAAGCACACTCCTGCCTCAGGGGCTTTGCACAGAGCTCTCCAGATGATGCGCCCCTCCCTGCCCATGCCAGGCACCCACTCATCCTCCACGCCCCCCCTGGCACAACTCTGCTTTATCTCTATGGCATTTAACCTTCCGCCTAAAATATTATAACAGTGTAGCGGCCAATTCTGCCATGAGGGTCAAGGTTTTATTAGTTATCAACATTTCCCCAAATCCTAGACTACCAAACAGCCCAGATTAAAGCTCCTGCTGAATGATGAATGGGCCTCGAACACAGCCCTGTATGCAGAATGAACTATCGAAGCAGTTTCTCAATCCACGCCCTAAAGCTCGCCGCCAGGATTCCAGTCCGTTTTCCTCCAGCCTCCTCAGTTGGGTGAAGCAGTATCTGAACTCTTAGATGAGTCTGAGTGCTCACCAGATTCCCAGACTCCTTTTCTGCCCATCACTTTATTTCTCTCCTCTCTCTTCCTTCTCCCATCTTCAGCCCCTCTCCATCTCTACCTAGAAACACGCTCACAACGCTCACAGTTTCCAATGCCTTGTTTCCCCACCTCAGCAACTACTCTGTCCCCCCTTTATCGCAGGACCACTCCAAAGAGAAGTTGGCAAGCTGTCCTCACTCCTCGTCCGCTTCCTCCCCGATCGCTCGGGGTCTGGCTTCTGTCACCAGCACTCAACTGAAAACATGCCTTTGACAATCCCCAGTCTCCCTCATTGGCCAGTTGCATGGGTTTCTCTCCCCGCCCCCCACCCCCATGATCCCACCCTTTCTCTTTCAACTCCTTTCCCATCTTGACTTTGAATGACACACTGTACCGGGCTCCTGTCACCACCCTGAGCATACTGAGATCCTGCTATGCCTTTGTTTCCCTTGTGGCCATTTTCCTGAGTGTTCTCTCTCTCTCTCTCTCTCTCTCTCTCTCTCTCTCTCTCTCT